TTTCTAGCCAGCAAGGTATAAGGGTTCCAATTTCTCTATAACCTCACCAGCAAATATTATTTTTCATGTTTTGTAGTAGCCATCCTAAAGGTTATGAAGTGATATCTTACTGTGGCTTTGATTTTCATTTCCCTAATGACTAATGATGTTCAATATCTTTTCATGTGTTTATTAGACATTGGTACATCTTCCTTGTAGAAATGCTTTTTTCAAGTCCTTCACCCATTTTTTTTTTAAACTGGGCTAAGTGGTTTTATTAGAGAAATCCAGGATTACAGAGGACTTAAGAGTTGGCATTAGGGCCCTTCTTTTTGCCAAAAGTGAGCACAGCATTTACAGAGCTCTGGTTGTACTGCGTCTGCCATTTGGCCTGGCCTATCTGCTTCTTCTCCCGTTTGGCCACCTTGGGAGTCTGAACTCTCACCTTCCCACCATGAGCCAGGGAATCGTGATCTTTACCTCCAAACATGCAGCTGGCTGCTTCCAGAGCTGTCAGGGCCTCCACTCACACTGGTCCAGGGAAGCTTTATCCTCCAGGGAGTGCCTGCCAGGACCGTGACTTAATTTTCCAGGGCTGTGTCCTCCAGTGAGCCTACATGAGCCTTGATCTGGGCCACTGTCTCCTGGCCAGTCACTTCGAGGGTGTGTAGCCCCTGGATGTGGACAAAGAGGTGCATGTCAATGACTGAGCCACAGCCCCTGCTGCTGCTAACTCGAAGATGGAGTGGAAAAATGGAAAGAAGCAAGGATATGCACATCCCCTCTGTCTACTGTGTGCCAACTTACTGCTCTCCTCCATCTATTTTTTAATTGGGTTGTCTGTTGTCGTTGAGTTGTAAGAGTTTATATATATTGTGGGCCGGGCACACTGACTCATGCCTGTAATCCTAGCACTCTGGAAGGCCGAGGCTGGAGAATCGCTTGAGCTCAGGAGTTCGAGACCAGTCTGAGCAAGAGCGAGATCCTGTCTCTACTAAAAATAGAAAAAATGAGCTGGGCATCATGTCATATGCCTGTAGTCCCAGCTACCTGGGAGGCTGAGGCAGGAGGATCGCTTGAGCCCAGGAGTTTGAGGTTGCTGTGAGCTAGGCTGATGCCACTGCACTCTAGCCCAGGTGACAGAGCGAGACTACGTCTCAAAAAAAAAAACAAAAAACAAAAAAAACGTCAAAAGTAGGCATCCTTGTCTTATTCCTGATCTTAGAGGAAAAGCATTCAGTCTTTTACCATTGAGTATGATGTCAGTTGTGGATTTTTCATATATGCTATTTAACCTGTTGAGAATATTCCCTTCTATTCCTAGTTTATTAAGTGTTTTTATCATGGAAATGTGTTGGATTTTGTCAAATGCTTTTACTACATTAGTTGAGACTATTATGTGGGTTTTTCCCCCTTCTTTCTATTAATGTGGCATATTACATTGCTTGATTTTTGTATGTTGAACCATCCTGGCTTTCTGGAATAAATCCCATTGGTCATGGTATATAATTTTTACTATGCTGCTGAATTCACTTTGCTAGTATTTTGTTCAAGATTTTTGCATCTGCGTTGATAAAGATATTGACCTGCTTTTTATGTTTTTTACCTGCTTTCATTTTGCTTTTTCCCATTACAAATCTTCTCGAATGCTATATAATTACATTCATGGCTTATTGTCTGCTCCCTACCCCTCAAAAATATTCTTCATTGTTTCGTGCAGTGATGTATTTCAAACCACTTACAATAGTGCTTGGCACACACCAGCTGCTCAGTACCCTTCTGGGGAATGGGTCGGTTCTTGGCCAGTACCTAGTGCCCTCCCATCATTCACACACACACAAAGCTGCAAGACTCCACCCTAGTCCCTTCCCAAAGAACCGGAACCCACAGCCCTACAGCTCACCAGGGCCCTCACCTGGCGGGTTAGAGCATCTGACAGCTCAGTCCACGCCCGGCCTAAGCAAAC